ACAGCAGCAGCAGCAGCAGCAGCAGCAGCAACAACAACACACAACAACAACAACAACAACAGCAGCAGCAGCAGCAGCAGCAGCAACAACAACAACAACAGCAGCAGCAGCAACAACAACAACAACAACAACCAACATGCTGCGCCGACGGTAGAGGCGCAGGATGCAGCGGCAAGCCTGCTGCAAATGGTTGCCTTCAACATTGCCCAGATCAGCTGCCTCAACGCCCGCCTGCACAACATCCGTCACATATTCTTTGCCGGCTTCTTCATCCAGAACCAGCCAACAACCATGCACATGATCACGCAGGCCGTGGCCTACTGGGGGCGGGGCGACATCTCTGCCCTCTTCCTTCGCCACGAAGGGTATGTCGGTGCTGTGGGCAGTTTCCTGGGTGGTGTGCCAACGCCTTCGGAGGAGGACGACGAAACTCCGGCTCCCACGCTCCCCGAGGCAGTCCAGGAACAGTACAGCATACCTTCCTTCAGATTTGGGCCTCTGCAAGAGGTGAGCTCTGTTCGGTTTCTCGTGGGTTGGGGGGGGGGGGGATGGGTTGGTTCTCGTTCGGGTTGCTTCTCGTTTGGTTGTTTGGTTGTTGGACTCCCTGTATGTCTGCAGTTCCGACTTCTGCCCTCGTGTGCATGTGTTTGTGTTTGCTTTGTGTGTTGGCATGCATTGCTGGATGGGAATACCTGGCGGGATGCTCGCGGACACCGCATCCTTGCTGCACTGTTCGTCTGGATGCACCAGCATCACCTCACCACCCGAAACCCTCCTGCATTGGATTTGCAGACATTCAACTTTGAGATTGAGCAGCACGACCCGTTTGTGCGCTTTCCGCTTCTTCCAGACCTTGCGCAGTACAAACCAGACACCATTGATCTCATGCTGGACGAACACGCCCGCGACTACTGGCTCGCATGCTTCAAAGGCAACATAGATCGGGTGTGTATGTAACGAGCGCCTCACACCGCACTTGATGGTGTGGAGGTGTGTGCAGCAAGAGCCGTCCGAGGCAGCTGGGTCGTCACCAAAGTACACACATACACATACACTCACACACACTCACTCACACACACACACTCACTCACTCTCTCTCACACACACACACACACACACTCACTCACTCTCACACACACTCACTCACTCTACACATGCGCAGGAGTACCAGCGAGCCCTCGACTGTGAGACTGAGGCAGAGAAACAGCTTCGTCAGCGAGCAGACGCCTTCCGCACCACGTTCCTCACACACATGAACATCCTCTCCACGGACCCAAGGTATCTGCCCTGCGCCGCTTGGTTCGTTGTGCCGAGTGCCACGCCGCTTCTACGGACATGACAGTGCCTTGAGGTTGACAACCCATCATTGCTTGTGTGCCTGCAGTGTTTACGGGGAATTGAGCGTCCGCATTATCCTCGAACTTCGACAACAGGTCTGCCTGTGTGTGTGTGTGTGTGTGTGTGTGTGTGTGTGTGTGTGTCTGTGTCTGTGTCTGTGTGTGTGTCTGTGTCTGTGTCTGTGTTTGCCTTTGCATGAGTGATCTGGTCTGCAATCGTTTGTGCGCTGCGCTGAAATCGCATGGACTTGTTTCTGCCACACCCTTCATCCCCGTTCCTCTCACCACCACCTACCTCTCTTCACGTTCTCGGGTGTTCAGTGTCTGCGTGAGTTTGGGTTTGGGGACATTTACTCGGCGGTCAAGTGCATGGAGAACGAAGCCGCACTCGCCGTCCTTCCAAGGTTCGATTGGGATGGGTCTGCGTGACCGGCCAGACCCTGCCACAACATGCTCACGGTGCCGTGTAACAACAACCCCCCCCCCCCCACACACACACACATTATCTCACACAGAGCATCATATGGCATGGTCACCAATCGCGTGTGATAGGCTGCTCGGGGAGCTGAACGCACTGCCTGCTGAAGAAGAGCTCTTAGCCGTCATTGAAGGCGCACTTGCTGGGAACTGCTTCGACTGGGGTGCTGAGGTTGGCGCTACTCACATGTTTTGCTGGTGCAGATGACATGCACCACTCTCCCTGTGCTTTGCATTGCCTGCACCATGCGCTAAAGCACACATTTCTTTCAGGGACTGCTCACATCCTTCTCCTGCATCGATCATCACTCTGCAATAGGCGGTTGCGCGACAGCTCGACGCCGGCACCATCGATTTCCTGGACCAGAGAGCCAAGATACGTGAGAAGCGCTGGTTGCACGACGACACGCAGGTGCGGCTTGCAGCTGTGGATGAATGATGCATCAGACATGCACCCGAGCACGCAACACACAATGCTTTCTTCCTGCTTGTTTTGTCCACCTTTTTATCCTGTGTTTATCCGCCATCTCTTCACGCTCATCGTACCCATATCCGGGCATTGGCTTGTTCCAGGCCTTTGTTGCAGCGACCATGGCAGGAAAGTACGACCACGTTGTCATGTTTGTGGACAATGCAGGCGCAGACGTCGTGCTGGGCATGCTTCCGCTCACTCGTGCACTCCTCAAAATGAAATGCCGCGTGACGCTGGCCGCGAATTCCAAGCCTGTGTTGAACGACATCACATTCCCAGAGTTGTCCGCACTCGTGCAAGGCGTGGCAAAGTTGGACCCCGTGTTCTCTGATGCCATTGCCGCCGGGTGCGTGTCTCTGCCGACTGCTTTCCTGCTTTGCTTCTGTCGTCACTTGCATTTCCTTCTGACACTGCATGTACTCTCGCTTCATGCCTTCCTTGGACGTGATCCTCCTCTCTGTGCGTTCTTTTCTGTTTTCTCACTTTTGCTCGATGCTGCTGTCCATCTCCAGGGCGCTCAGGGTGCTTCCGAATGGGACTGGGTCGCCGTGCATCGACCTCAACCGTGTTGGGTTGACGCTTGCGCAGCACGTCCATGATGCAGACCTCGTCATCCTTGAAGTGAGCGCCAAACCCGAAGATGCAAACACGCGCAAGCGCACTTGCAGTGACACCAATCACCGACACCTTCATGCACTCTTGCTCACACACACACACACACACACACACACACACACACACACACACACACACACACACACACACACACACGCACACACACACACACACACACACACACACACAATCATACGCGCTAGGGCATGGGCCGGGCCATTCACACAAACTACGACGCAAGCATGACGTGCGACACCCTCAAACTGGCAATGATCAAAAACGCGTGGCTGGCGAACAAGCTTGGCGGCGAAATTTACGATGTCGTCTGCAGATTTGACACGCAATAATGGATGTGATTGATGTTTGTGTGTGCATGCACGGTGTGGCAATGCTTGAATTGAAACACAGAAGACACCTGTAGTAAACAAGCATTGATTAATTGCTTCACATGGTGGTCAAAACAACGAAAATTATCACGCAGCGGGGGCAATAACACGGAACTGAAAGTGGACGCTGTGGTGAGGACTTCACAGCCCCGCTCACGCTTCCCTACTTTGCCAGTGGCCGCTTTCCCTCCCTCCTCGAGCTCAGCATCAGGCTGCAGCAGTTGGAGCAGCAGATGCGTGGTTCACGCACACAGCCGCAGGCAGGCGGCTTCATGGCAAGCGCACCGCCACGCAGAGGTGGAAGACGCGGCTTCTCCAACAACAGCAACAACCACGGACGCCAGGGACGCAACAACGGCGGCGGTAACGGCAACGGCAACGGCAAGGGGCGCCGCTTCCGTGGCAACTGTCACTACTGTGGCAAGTATGGACACCGTGCAGCAGAGTGTCGCAAGAAGCAACGCGACAACGGAGCAACAGGCTTCACTGCACAGGCACAGCATCAACATGGTCAAGACGCAGCAACCTTCGTCGCTACCACAGCTACACCCACGCAGCTGCATGACCCACTCACGTGGCTTGCAGACACGGGTGCTTCACACCACCTCACCTTCGTCAAGGACGCCTTCGTGGAGCTGTCACCGCACCTGCAACAGCACCATCCACGCCACATCACTGCGTTTGGCGGCACACGTGTGCCCGTGCGCGGTGTTGGCTCTGTGCTGTTGCATGCACGCACGACGAGCGGAGCTACGATGCAGATTGTGCTACAGGAGTGCCTCTACGTGCCCGAGGGCCAGGCCAACCTCATCGCCCTCGGTCGTCTGACCAGGGACAGCAGCGGCAGGCCAACGGGCCACTCGCAGCGTGATGGCGCTGATGGGCACTACGTGCGCTTCAGCCACGGAGCCGAGGTCAAGCTGAAGGAGCGCAGTAGCCTCCGATGCTGGCCCATTGTTGCTGTTGGTCCATCCACGGCACACGGTCTCACCGCCGATGGCTGCAAACAACCACAGCAACCCGCAGCAGCTCCTGCAGCCCAGAGCAAGGTGCAGACACCATCGATGCATGAGGTGCTTGGCCACCGCAACGACAACGACGTGCAGCAGTACTGCAAGCTGATGGGCATCGACGATCGCAACGCCATCAGCAGCAAGCAGTGTACAACGTGCGCAGTGACCAAGAGCACTCGTCACAGCGTCAGCAAGCACGCGGAGCGCACACAGGTGCCCGGCGAGCGCATCCACGCCGACATTGTCGACTGGACCGCGGACTCACCCACGGGCAAGCGCTACAGCCTGTAGAAACACGACAGGTGGTGTGTGTGTTTACTGTAGGCAAACGCAACAAACAAGAACACAAGGAGAATGAACAAGCACAACAAGCTGCTGCCAAATCAACTCGGGCAGCACGCTCAAACAAACACTAGACAAGTGCACACACAGTCAGCAACGGCCAAGGCGACATGGGCAGAGTGTGCACGAACACAAACAATCTAAACAACGACCAGCATGCATACATGCGCGCAGAGCAATGCTAGGCATGGCATGAATGCTTGCAGGCAAGCATACACAACAGACAACAGTTCACAACACTGCATGACACGCACACATGGCATTTACCAAGCATGACGAGCATGCACACGGCACACATGGCACACAACTCACGTGTGCAGGGGAAGGAGGAGAGGAGAGGCAGTTGGCACACATGCATGCCAGCAGAGAGGAAGGAATGTTTGCCAACGGAAAAACCACAAAGCAGGTGTTGTTGGCAAACAAGACAAAACCACATGAGAAGGCAAATTAGGAAGGACTCAACACAAAACAGAAACTCACTGACTCTCAACACTCCCCCTCAACTGCCTTCCTCTGCTCCGTCTCAGCCGCCGAGGTTCCCACCAGTCGTGGCAGGTGCTGCTCGAAAGGTGTGCTTGTCCAGTGCCTTGGTCAGCGCGTCGGCAACCATCTGCGTGCCCGGGACAGTGCTGCAGCACAATGGTTCCGTCGGCGATGAGCTCCGCACGAAGTGGTGGCGTACCCGGGATGTGCTTCGTGCGCGGCTTGGTGACGTGGTCGTTGCCGATGGCGATGGCCGCCTGGTTATCTGTCAGCATCTTGGTGGCTCCAGCCTCGGGCTCGTCGAGGTCCATGAGCAGCTGCCGCAGGAAGACAACGTCCTGCGCTGCAGCGGAGATGGCCATGTACTCGGCCTCGGCGGTGCTCAGCGCAACCGTGGGTTGCAGCCGGCTGCTCCAAGACACAAGACAGCCGTTGATGTAGCAGGTAAAGCCCGTCGTGGAGCGGCCCGTCAGCTGGTCTGTGCCGAAGCTGGCATCGCTGTAGCACACAAGGTCCAGCGGCTGGTCCTTGCGCGTGCCGCTGCGTCGCTTGAAGAGGAGGCCGTGCTCGCTCGTCGCCTTCAGGTACCGCACGACGTGCTTGGCTGCCTGCCAGTGGACCGTCGTGTAACGGTCCATGTAACGGCAGAGCAGCCCGCACGCGAAGCTGACGTCTGGTCTCGTGCGGTTGGCCAGGTACAGGAGCGAGCCGACGAGGTTGCGGAAAGGCAGGCGTCGGTCGGGCTGCTCGCTGATGCTGGAGGCGTCGATGCCAACACGCATGGGCGTGGACACGCTGGCTGCCGCTGCCAGGTTGTAGTCGTTGATGATGTCGTTGATGGCCTGTGTCTGCGCAATGTGCAACACCCCGTCAGCTGGTGACGTCAGGTGAAGGCCCAGGTACCAGGTGAGCGGGCCCAGGTCCTCAGTGTTGTAAGTTCATGGTGGTGGTGCTGTTGTTGGAGACTTGTGTGTGTGTGTGTGTGTGCAGAGTGTGCTGTGTGTTGTGTGGGAGATTGTCTTGGCAAGAGGAAGTTGTGTGTGTTTACTTGAGTTGTGAAGCAAACAAGGATGTAGGATGAATGAACACTCCAACAGAAAGAAACAGGGCAGAAGACAAGAATTGTCCACAACGCAAAGTGGTGACGTGGCAGTGTTTGTTGAGAGTTGTGTGGTTATGTGGTGTGTTATGCAAGAACATGTAACATCGAGCAACCACACAAGCTAAACACTGCACGTGCAACAGGTTGGAGGGAAATCACGTGAACATTCCAGAACACAAGAGAGGTGAATGCAAATTTGTGGTGTCGTGAAGAAGGGAGGTCAATGATGACTCAGCAGACAGGACTTGCCTGTCAACACTCCCCCGCATTGACCTACCTCTCTGCTGCGTTGATGTTCTGAAACGTGATGAGCATGTGGATGATGTCATGCATGTAGGAATGGCATGGGCAGATGTAGGTGAGATGTGAGTAAGGACGTGTGTTGTGGAACACGTTTAAGAAAATGGTTGGTGCCTGTGGTGCGCAGCCTGTTGTGGAAGGCTGGCCCGAGTGAAGGCGTGTCCTGTGGTGCGCGGCCGCTCAGAGGTCCTGACGCGGAGTCGAAGGACGTGGCGACCGGCCCGAATGAGGACGGGCCCGTGGCTGGCAGCCTGGCAGAGGACGCTGGTCGAACAGCATCGTGCAGAACTGAGCCGTCTTGGGCCGAGGGAGGATCTTCGTGAGGAGATCTGCGATCATGTGCTCCGTGGCGAGGTAGCTCAGCACAATCCTCTTGGTGTCGACGCACTCGCGGATGTAGTGGTACTTGACGAGGATGTGCCGCATACGCGAGGCGGCGTGTTCGGCAACGCGCTGCGCCGGCTGGTTGTCCGTGTGGACGAGCGTGGGCTCGCACAGGGCGGCGCCGGTGAGCTCCTCCTGGAGTTGGCGAAGGAACATGAGTTCCTGTGCGGTGGCTGCGAGAGCCATGTACTCCGCGTCGGCGGAGGCTGTGGCCACGGTGGCCTGCAGTTTGGAGTTCCAGGACACGGGGCCCGTGGAACAGAAGACGACGAAGCCCGTGCGGGAACGTCGCGTGTCAACGTCGGAGGCGAACGACGCATCCGAGTACGCTGAGAGCACGCCGTCGGCAGTGCTGCCGTTGCTGGTGTCGCCAGTGGCGGCGTACTTGATGGTGTAGGACAAGGTGCCCTTGATGTAGCGAAGAAGGTGCTTGGCAGCCTTCCAATGGTCCATGCCGAAGTGCTGCATACGGCGAGAGAGGATGGAGACAGCCGCCGAGATGTCTGGGCGCGTCATCGTCGCAGCATAGAGGAGGGAGCCAAGCAGCTCGCGGAACGGCACATCCGGGAGTGGCTCCTCCTTGTCGGCTGGCTTGTCGACGTAGCCCGTGCAGAGCGGCGTGCCGACAGGCTTGCAGTCAGCCATGCCGAAGGTCTCCAGCACGCTGCGCAGGTAGTGCTCCTGGCTCATGGTGACGGTCCTGGCCTTGCGGTCGTGCTGCACCTTGATGCCGAGACAAATGTCTGGGCTGCCCAGGTCCTTCATCTTGAAGCGCTTGGAGATGGAGTTCTTGAACGCGGCCATGTCGCTGTCGCTGTCGGCGAAGATGAGCAGGTCGTCCACGTAGACGGCAACCCACATCACCTTGCCACCCTTGCAGGTGCGGCGGTAGATGCAGGCGTCCGTGGCTGTGGCGACGAAGTCCTGCTCGCGCATCCAGGCGTCCAGCGTGTGGTTCCACAGGCGCGGGCTCTGCTTCAGCCCATACAGCCCACGCTTGAGGCGCAGCACCGTATTCGGCGAGAAGATGCCGTCGACGGCCGGTGGCTGGACGTAGATCTCGTGATCCACGGGCGCGTTGAGGAACGCCGTGTTGACGTCCATCTGCTGGATGTCCATGCCACGCGCGACGGCCATGGCGAGCATGGTGCGGATGGCTGCGATGGTAGCCGTCGGGGCAAAGGTGTCCGTGTAGTTGACACCGTGGACCTGGGAGTAGCCCTTGGCAACCCAGCGCGCCTTGTACTTGATCACCTTGCCCTGGTCATCGCGCTTCCTCCGAAAGATGACCATGCTGCGGAGCAGCTTGTGGCCCTTGGGAAGGTCAGCGCGAGGCACGACGTCGTAGACGTCATTGGCCTGCATTGCCGCAAACTCGTCCAGGATGGCTTGGCGCCACTCCTCGGAGTCTGGCGAGGCAAGCGCCTCCTTGACGGTGGCTGGCTCAGCTGACGTGGCAACACTGCCAGCAGCGATGTCTGGTAGATGACCACCCACTGCTGATGTCTTCTCCCCCGTACCAGCAGCGCTGGTGGCAACGTGACACGTGGTGGTTGAGCCACCAGAGGTGTCCTTGTCGCCGAGGGTCTCGGACAACAGCAGCTGATCCCAGACGGAGCCGCCAAGGGCGCGTGGCTGGAGCTGCGGCTCCCCCGCACGTGGTGCAGTGGGAGCGCCAGTGGCACTGTCCTCGGTTGAACGCTGAGCGGTCTTGTTGGCATGCGAAGCAGAGGCACCGCTGTCGTCCTGCTCTTGCTGCTGCTGAGAGGAGGCGGCGTCCTTGTTCTTGATGGCGCCGAAGCGAGCGTGGATGGTGTGGACAACGCGTCGCGTGTCCGGCATCCAGACGACGTGGGCCTGGTCCTCCTCGGCGAAGCCGACGTAGACGCCAACGCGTGAGCGTGGGTCAAGCTTGTGCCGCGTGCTGCTCTTCTCCACATGCACGTAGGCCGGCGAGCCGAAGACGCGCAGCAGGCTGACGTCGAAGGCGTGCCCAGTCAGGGCCTCGAAGGGTGACTTGTCCTTGAGGCTCCTGCGTGGCGCGATGTTGTGCAGCAGCGTGGCGTGCTGCACGGCGAAGCCCCAGAACGGCTTGTCCAGGTCCGCAGCAAACAGCATCGTACGCGCCGTCTCGAAGAGGGTGCGGAAAGTGCGCTCTGCGGATCCGTTCTTGGCCTGCGAGTGCGGTGGCGAGAAGCGCTGCTTGATGTCGAAGGCCAGGCACAGGTCGGTGAAGTCCTGGCTCTTGAAGACGGCGTCGCTGTCCGTCTGCAGCGTGGCGCCTCGGAGTGCGTTGACGACGTGGCGGTCCTTGCGCAGCTGCTCCAGGGCCGCGCCGACGTCGTTCTTGTGCCGGATGAGGAACGTCCAGGCGAAACGCGTGCAGTCGTCGATGAAGGTCAGCGCGTAGCGTGCACCTCGCAGCGACGTCTCCTCCAGCGGACCGGCGATGTCGGCGTAGAGCAGCTGGCATGGCCCAGCGCTGCGTGGAGCAACTGCTTCGTGATGGAGGCGCGCGTGCTCTTGCCAAGCGCACATGGTCCACAGGTGACGATGTGCTTG